AAGCTGGTTCAGGCAAATGCTGAAACTGCAGACTGGATTCAGTGTTGCCAATGGAAAAGTACTGTTACTGCCAGTGTGAAATAGAACTCCTGGGGTGACATCTAGAGAAACAGAAGGTAGACTGGACGCTCACAGGTTACAAGTGGAGAGAACAATTCCTTCTATCTCCAGCGTTCCAGGCTCCCTTTATTGCCTGTTAACGGGGTAACTGCAGCCAGCTGGCGAAGCCAAAGCAAGGTTGTGTTGTGCCAGCTCCAGGATGACAATGCAGAGCAGAAAAGGGTGGATTTAGAGTTTGGGGCCAGGAACCTGATCACTGACACACTGACCTTCTAATCTGATTTTTGCTGGATAGAGCCTCCTTAGAGCACCACGGTTCGGGAGGACCCATCAGTCTCTTGGAATAGTTTCATTTTTTTGGTTTCAGAGAAGAGGAGCAATAGAAAGCGCTTCTTCCCTCTTCTGTTACACTAGAAGTAGTATGCCATAGTGGCCAAGTTATTCTATCCCTAGTTCCCTCGCCTGAAGTTTCCCTTAGATTCACTAAGGGAAAGAGAATCCTTGCATTGGAAACCCCACGGGCTGCTTTTTCTATAATAGTACCTAAAGTATCTCTTCATTTTAACCTGATGCCGTTTTTCAATTTTGATAAATCCTTGTCAAGGTTTGAAGGGCCGAATATAAGAATGTGAGTAAAGGAAGTGAATCAAAACTGGCAAATACTGCCACTAAGAGCCTTGACTTGTAGAGGAATAACAGACAGGAAAAGTCAGGGGAATCCAGCAAAGCAGTTTCAGTGTTCACAGTGTTGGAGGATGTAACTGGGAAAAAAACTCTGAAGTACAGATTAATACATCAGGATGAATTAGCAAAACAGAGAAGCTGTTTGGCATAAAACAGATAAATTATGTTGATATTTCTGACGGGAAAATGTAATCTGATCACTTGTGGGTTCACAGACTACTAATGGTTCTTTCTGAGTATATTAGAAAGACCATTATGCATTCCTTGAGATCTATATGCTTTCATTCCATCTCTTTTATGAGTTTGTTTTTCTGTGAAGTTTGCATTATCATAGTGATTTTTTATATTCACTTCAAATTTTTATTTTCTTTGACTTCCTGTTCCACTTATTAATCCTTTTTATCACAGATCTGTTTTATCACAGATCACAGCAATGGTCACCATCACATTCTTCTTGCCTGTTTCTACAGAACTGTCTCATTAATTTTTACATTTTTCCCCCCTACATTATGTCATCACTTATTCAGGGAGGCAGCTGTACTGTTTCAGTGACAGAAGTTAGGACTTGGCTTCTGTGTAAACCTTCAAAAGTCAGACATCTTTGGGCTTTAGTTTTCTTTACCATAAAATGAAGAAATTAAGCTGTGTAATTGCTAAAGTTGCTTAAATTTCACATATTGTACAATTCTGGAGATTTATGAGAGATTTTTAGAATTAAGAATTACTAGCTTAGCAAATCTACTGACAAGGAGATAAAGGATTTTCCATTTAGAGGTAGGTAACACCCCCCTAGAGAGAATGACCATGGTTTAGGTAATAAGTCATATTCTTCCAAATGAAGAATTTTTGTCACTTTTTATATCTAATAACCTTAAATTTTAATACAGAATTCAAAATGAGTACAGTAGTGATGATCTGCTGACTGTCTTAAAGTGAAAAGTGACAAAATAAAACAGACCTAAGTTGCTAATTATTATTATTATAACTGGAAGCAATTTCTGAAATTATAAATCCTTTACTAGAGAAGAGCTGTAGGTAAAAGTTCCCTTTGAGAAACAAGAGCCCAAAAGTCAAGCTATATCTCTAAATTCGCTTACAGCTGAAGTAGGAGGCAGAAAATTGAAATGACAGGCCTAGAAATGCTGTTTAGTGGAGCAATTAGATTACAGCATCTGTTATTCTGTTGATCTCTTGGATAGATTCCATTTCTCTGGTGCCTAGGCCAATGTCCCCTCACTACCTAACCACATGCATATTTTGGAGAGAATAATCTTTTGTGCAGAAAAGCACCATTTTTTTCCAACCTAGCTGCATTCTCCAGCAAGGAGAATAGTGATAATATGCGTAATGTTATTAGACAAATATGTCTAATAGATTTCAGTGATTCACTTATTCATTCAACTATTCCAAAAAGGTATATTAAGCAGATTCACAGACCTAGAATTACAAGTGCTAGTGAATCAGTCAACAGACTAGATATGCCCTTGGCCTCATGGAGCTTAGTCTTTTCCATTTCAAAATTTGAATCCTCGCTAACAATTCTGTCTCCCTGCCTACACTTTTCAAGTCTCCAGTAGAACGGAACATATTTCTGTCAGTGAGGGCTTTCCTTTTTTGACAGATTAAAAATTATGCAGTACAAATCCAGGAGAAAGATTTACAAGTTTTTGTAGGCTCTTATATCCTTCAAATGTTTTTTCCGGTCACCCACTAATATTTTCTTAGGAGATTCCTTTGAGCAAAGCTGTACTTGTCAAAGCAGATGGATTTCAGTGTCCTCTAATGCAGTTGCAATGTGTTATCTTTTCCTTTCACCCCCAGGCACTTTCCTCTTTGATTGTCTTTAAAATTTTTCCTATCTATCATTCTTTGTAATATGGAGATTTGGGGTTAATGGAGAATGACTTCATGTTAGTTTATACTTCAAAAGAAAGCTGTGAGCAAATCAGCTTTTATAATTATGCTATTGCTAATAGTTATTCAAAATGAGGCAGGGTATCTTGAATTTCTAGTAAGATATATACTCTTTTCCCTAGAATAATATCATCTTTACTATAATCTGATAAAGCTATCTGGAATGTTAAAGCCTAAGATACACTGTCAATTTATTGTTCCTTTAATCTGTTTTTGTTTTCTTGATGAATATGGTACAGGTCACTCTGGGTCAAACTCACATTCCTTAAAGGATTTAAAGCTATTTTTGTAACTTAAAACGTGTGTAACTTCTTTTCAAGTTCAGTGTTTGGCAGTGTTGTGGTTTAAGCTGCCCAGAAATATAAGCATGTTGTCATTGCTAAGTGGCTTGTTTCAGAGCCTTGGCTACTCTATAAATTCAGTTTATGAATCATTTGGGTGAGTAATACTTGTTGCTAATTCTTTGCAATCTAAAAACAATCTATATGATGATAACTGAGAGGATATCACAGGATAGATAATCTATGTGTATTTTTTGTATCGTATTATATTCTAACACTTCAAAAAATCACAGAGTTATGACCTAATATAATGGTTAGAAAACCTCTATTTCAAAAATCGCTTTTTGCATGATTAGCTCTTATGATTGTGTTTTGTGGTGTTATAAGAAGCCCTGTGAGTTACCAGTTCTTTTTAGTATTACTTAAGTCATGTGTAGGACATGGCCCTTTCTAAGTATCTTCAGATAATACCTTATATCAAAAGGGATTTCTCTGTGTACCTTGAGACACAAGATATGATCAAAAGTTTTAAAAATTATTACAGTAAAAGATACGTTGCCATAACCCAACTCAATATGCTTCTCTTTTCCTTGGAACACACATTCCTGCTACTTTCTGAAGCAGTTCTCTTTCTTGAGTGTCTTTCAAAGTGTGATGAAAAATACGCTGAATGCTACTGCTGAGTTCCATTCATTGGAAAGATAGAGTCATAAAACCATTACTATGCATCATAACCGTATTCATCTGATTTGACACTGCACAATTTCTGGCTGTCCCCCCCCCAAGTCAAAATGATACAAGGTAAAAGTTTTGCATCAGTTCAGCACACGTGACAGCTCAATTTAAGACACCATGAGCAGGACTTCCAGAACTGCTTCAGAAAGCGGCAAGAAAGATGGCATAAGTGTGTTTAAATTAAGGGGCAGACTAATGGTGGTGTGGCTTTTACTATAATAAAGTGTTTAAAATTTAAGCATTTACTGTACATATTTTTTGTTATACTTTAGAATTATAGAAAGTGATTGGACAATTACCTCTTAAAAATTCTATGCTAAAAAAATAAAAAAATGAAAATAAATTCTATGCTAGAGCACACAAGTATTCTTTTTTCTCCAACTTTTCTAATCTATACTCCTGATAGTTGCCCTTTGTTCTGAAACTGTTTCATCCTTTATTCACTCAGTAAACCTTAGAGTGCAAAAAAAAAAAAAAAAAACACCCCAAAATCCCAAATAACACATATGTGCATTTAGTTATGTGTCTTTCAGTTCACACTTTGAGTGTGAATTTTCAAATATTCATAAAAGTAGTATGACCAATATGACCTTATGTATCATTGTCATTGTTTTTATTTGTTGTGGTTGTTCCTAGAGTACCTAATACTAGAAATTCCCCACTCTTTTTTAACCAATGTGTGCTTGTGTGTTTCTTAGAGTTTTAATTGCAAATAGAAATTTGAGAATAAAAATTATGACATTTACTTTATTTCTCTTTTATATCTGAAATCAGCTCAGCTCTCATCGTAATTCCAAGTGATAAATTCAGTTTTCTTTGGCTCATTTTTGTGTTTCCTTAACTGCTTTTAAGTTCTTGTCACAGCCAGAGTCATTATGTTGGGTCACTTTACATAGAAATTTATGTGTATATATAAATGATCTTAAAACTTCATCACTCTGACTATTTGATTTATTGATAGTCAGATAACTAGTGTAAGATTTTTAGTTTAGCTATAAACCACTACTTTCTTATTAATGGCTCTGTGAATTTACCCACAGGAACCTTTATGTACTATTTTGAGTACAGGTCAAGGAAAACAATACGAGTCATTGGGGAAGGCCTAAGCAAACAAGATTAAGTTTTTGTTACAGTGAAGAATTGTTATTTATGATAACATAGTCCTATGAATGTGTATGCTTTAAAACCAGGGTAATTTGGCTAGTTTTGAAGACACAGATATAGGGGAGGCTTTGATAGTTTCTGCTTTACTTCTGTTGCTGACATGCTCCTCCCAGTTGTAGTAATTTCTTGGAAGCTCTAATTCCATGACTAATGTTGTTACAGCAGAACTCCCACCTCCGTATACAGCCATTGTCAGTCCAGATGCCAGTGGTATTCCCGTAATCAACTGCCGCGTGTGCCAGTCTATAATCAATTTGGATGGCAAACTTCACCAGCATGTGGTTAAGTGTACAATTTGCAATGAAGCTACGGTAAGTGGAGATTTCCATTAAAAAATTATAAATTGTTATCTAAAAAAAGCTCCTTAGTAATGTTACTTAAGAGCAGATGTGGGCTGGGTACAACTATGACAATCTTCTTCCTTCTTTTGTTTCCTTTCTCTCTCTTTTATAACATAAGGATGTCTCCTAATTCTATTCAGATTTTTTTAAAATAGAGAATATAAGGATAATGCCCTTGGGCTCTTTGCTTACTAAAATGTGACTGGCAATGGTAGTTATTTGTAATTATCTTTAGTATCTGTCTATCTCCCAACTAAATCTGTTTTGATTTTCACTGAAATAAAAATATATTAAGCTTTATTGCAAATGTGGACTTTTTCCTAATATGTGAAAATTTATTTATTTAAGTTATGTCTGTAGAATGGCAGTATTATGGGGGTTTTTTGTGATTATGCATTTATTGTTGACTTCCATGCTAAAGTGTTTACAGATAGCTTGACATTTTCTTCCATTTATTAGACATGAATTCAGTGAAATTTTAAAAGTATTGAAGGACATTTTTTGAACACTCAGCATTGAGAAGAGCAACTAAATTTTAAGCAAGGAACTTTTTTTCCTGTAGTACTGGGGATTCAACCTGGGGTCTTTGCATTGGGCTATGTGTCCATCCTTTTTTCATTTTTAAATTGTACAACAGAGTTTTTCTAGGTCACTGTGTTGCTCAGGCTGGGCTACAATTTGTGATTCTTTCTACCTCAGCTTCCCAGAGTGTGAGGTTGCAAGCATGCACCTTTACACCTCGCCTAAACAAGAATAAGCAAAGCTAATTTCAAGTAATGACTAAAGCGTATGCTGACATACATGCAGTGTTTCTACTTTCATAGTTAGACTATTTTTAAACATTCCATCTCTCTCAACATCTACAACTAAATATTAATTTTATTTTTGGCATTTTTCTTCCTTTTTAGGAAAGCGTAAGAAAAGTTAGGCAAGTGGCTACAATGCATAGTACCAGGCTTCATATAGAAAAGTCATAAAATAAAACCTTAAGTCATAAAGTAAAATATTTCATGGTAGTTTTTTTCAAACCCCTGTAAGGAGACATTATTCAGGGAAGAACATTGTGTAAATCAGTGATACCTACAAACCAGCTGGTTTTTTTATAAACTGAAGAATGACTGGAGAATTTAGCTACATTGTCTTCTGTAGTGCTCTATGCAGAGTTGGCAAGCCAGTGAGTTGTGAGTCATAAAGAGCAATTAAAAAAAAATCAGTGTTGGAGATGTTTCCCTGGATTCGATGTTAGTGTTAATATCATCTCTTAATCCCCCCTCCATAGCCATCTTTTGGTCTTTAATAAATAGGAAAAAAAAAAGAGAATGATAAAAGTTCAGTTTCCACTTAGAAGTAAACAGCAGACTAGCTCATTCAGGCAGGAATCTCCAGCTCCCTGCAGATTTAGCAAATGAGGTCAATCTAGCCCATTAGAAGCAGTGAGCTCACACAGGATCAATGAAACTACTGTAGGAAAACTTCTTCTGGAGATAAGAGAAATTCCTCAAAAATGTACATGCTTACTCCGTCTGTGGAGTAAAGAAATGTATATAATTGTGAAGGCTCCAGAGACAGAGAATAATATTGCTTTGTTTGATATTAGAAACAGAAAAGGAACAGAGTGAAAAGAAAGTCTTGTGGAGTGCTTTAATATGCAACATGCTAATGTTTACCAACGTTTGTGCTGCATAATTAATTATGCTCCTCTTGGGAAATCAGTACATACACCTAGGGAATCTAGGTCAGTTTTACTCTCGCTTCCCCTGCTAATCTGTACTTGATCTTAAACTTGTAAGTGAAGATGCATTAGATCACTAGGAGCTTCTCTGGGGGAAAGTCCAGGTTGAAAATAAATTCATATAATGGCCTAGGATCCAACAGAGAAATTCCCTGGTGCCTATTCTCTCTGTCCCCTGTTGTATTTTACTGTGATTCATTCTCCTCATGTCATCTAAAACGGGTATCAGTTTATCTGTCCTCCTGGGTGGCCATTCTGAAAGGAACCTGATACACTTGTAGAGATGAAGAAATAAAACAAAACAAACTCCAGGTTAATAAAGCCTTTCGTTTCAGAATGAATTGAGAAGTACAATATGTGTGTGGTGGGTAGGGGGAGAAAAATGTTGGCAAGACAAAAGGAGAAATGGTTTTCTAGGACAAGTTAATGGGAAATTTGAGAAGTCCTTGCACAAGAGTCTTACCTGAAGACTGTGTGTATCTGATTAGAAGCCTGCAATTGGAGGCTGACTCCCTGGTTTGTTCTACTGTTGAGTAGCTGTATCTCCTCAGGAACTTCACTTCTTTAAAACTGTGCTTTTCTCATGTAAAGCAGTACAACACCACCTCAGTGCCAGGCACTTACAAGTTTTCTTTTGCCAACTAAGAATTTTAAAACTTAGGTGTACAGATATGTTCTACCTCCAGCCCCCAACTTCAAAGCAGACCAGACATCCAGACCTGACAAGGCCTGGCCAGCACTGAGGAGGGTGCTGGAGACCTAGCTCAGCTGGCTTATGTTTTATGGGAGGAAACTGAGGGGTAGAAGTGAGGTGGGCAAAATATGGAGAAACAAATCCTGTCATTTGCCAAGTGTGTGAATGTAATTATGAATTTTGAATGGGTGAAATTAACCCAATTATATTGATGCTTTAGATACTATATATACATTCTGAATATTTGTAAATTTTACATATTAAGATTTTTCTGTAATGTAGTTTTGAAAATCATGGGTAGCTTATCGCTAACCTTTGTATTTTTTTCTTTTTGTACTGGGAACCAAACTCAGGATCTTGTACTTGCCAGACAGGCGCTGTCCACTGAGCTGTATCCTCGGCTGTATCCTGTAACCTTCATATATTTCTACCAAGTTTTGTCTATTTAGACTTTTTAAAATCTTTGAAAAAATTATTGCATACCCACAAAAGTTTCGAATAAAAGTATGTCCATATGAGTCTCGACTTCCAGGGCGATTATACGCCACTGAGCTCATCATAACTGAGTTTAGTAACACATGCCTGAAATCTAAGTTATTCAGAAGGCTGAGGCAGGAAGATCACAAGTTTGAGATTAGCCTGGGCTTTACCAAGACTGTCTGAAAATAAAATAATAATAAAAAAGAGCTGCTTGGCTTAGCAATAAAGCACCTCTGGGTTCTATCACCAGTACTGCAAGCAAAAAAAAAAAAAAAAAAAAAAAAAAGCCCATTGTAAATTGAAAATATTGTTAAGTTGAAAATGCAGTTAGCCATCGAACCTGCTCATCATCTTGTCATAGCACTACAGCAGGGGTTGCGTCTCCTTGTTAGGGCTGTGGCTTGCTGCTACCACCCAGCACCTCAAGAAAGTAATGTACAGGGGCTGGAGATTTAGCTCAGTGGCATAAGCATCTGCCTTGCAAGCAGGTGGTCACGAGTTTGACCCCTGGTACTGATAAAAAGACAAAAAAAAAAAAAAAAAAAAAAAAAAAAGAAAGTAACGTACACTCAGAAAAAGTTCAAAATTCTGAATATGATTTTTACTGAACATACATCAATTTCACACTACAGAGAAATTTTTAAAAATCACAAGTTAAACCACTGTATAATTCAGGGATCATCTGTATGCAGTATGGAAAATTCCTATATGCCCATAATTTACATTGCCCAAGGTTAGCATTTTACAACAGTGGTTTTTCCTCTAGAAATAATCTTTTTTAGTGTATGTTCACTAAAAACAAGGGTGTTCACTTACAGAATCACAGTGCAATTGTCACATGTAGGAAATTAATCTTTTGATGTAATTCATGTTTCCCAATGTTCCATTAGTGTCCCATTAAAAAAAAAATTCTCCAGGATTCAAATGACAATCACATGATACATTTGGTTGTCGTCTTTCTTTAATTTCCTTTGATTTGAAACTGGCTTTTTCTTTGTGTTATTTTCTGAAGAGTATAGCAGAATATTTTGGAGAGTGTCTCTCAATTTGGCTTTATGTTTCTTCATGGTTAGTTTCACGTTATGCATTCTTGGCCAGAATGCTATAGGAATGAAGTTCTGTTTTTCTTAATGTATCATAAATTTAACAAGCTTAAGTCCTACTATTTCAAGGAATTTTTTTCTATGATGTTATTTATTCTCTTTTAAGTTTACCATGAATTTTTTAGAAAGAAATGCTGGTGTTGAGTAATTATAAGTTTTAAAGTTAAAATATCATAAAATTAAGTACTTCTTATATTCCACCCAGTGAAGTTTAAGAAAAAGTCCAAATGTATAATGAACTCCTTCACTATTTTTTAATTTATTGGTATATGTTTACTACACATAATAATTACATTTATTTTGGGGAATTGATACACATATTGCATCTTAATTATTTTTATTTCTCTTTTCTGCCTTCCCTGTCTCTGTACCCTTAGATCGCCTCCCCAACTCCACAAAATCTATCTCCCTATTTCTATCATGTCTTTTTGGGGATTTTTTTTTTACTCTTTAATAGGAAAAACCATGCAATATTTAAATTTGTATGTTTTATTTATTTCACTTAGCATTATGGTTTCAAGATACACTCATTTTCCTACAAATGACTCAAGTTTACATTATGGCTGAAGAGTATTCCATTATATACTGAATTCAGTCATCTGTTAACATAGAGTTATTGTGAGTTATGCTGCTATAAACATGGGCAGACATGTAGCAGTGTAATATGAGATTTTTAGCTTTTTCAGGAGGATAGCCAGAAGAGGTATAGCTGGGTAAAATGAAATTTCTATTTTTAGTTTTTGAGGAATCTCCATACTGATTTCTACAGTGCTTGTACATTCTCCCCAACAATGTGAAAGGGTTCCTTTTCCCTCACAACCTCTTCAGAATTTGGCGTTTTTTGAATTCTAGATGATAGCTATTCTTTCTTAAAATGGAATCTTAGTAGTGTTGTTTTGGTTTGAATTTCTGTAATGCCCAAAGATGCCAAACATTTTTTGTGTGTACTTACTGATTGTTTGAAATTTTGAAAAGTGTCTATTTATTTCAGGTGCCCATTTTTTGATTGTGTCTTTTATTTGGAGTGGGAGGTCTAAGTTGTTGAATTCTTTATGCATTCTGGATATTAATGTTCTGTCTAAGGAGTAGCTGGCAAATAATTTTCCATTTTTTACATTGTTTTTTCATGCGATGGGTTGTTTGTTTTGATGGGCAAAGCTTTTTAATTTGATATGGTTCCCTTTTCTGACTCATAGTATTGCAATTGGGGTTCTGTTCAGAATGTCTTTACCTATATGTTTAAGAATTTTACCGATTTTATTTTCCAGCAGATTTAGTGATTGTTTTAATATTTAAGTCTTTGTATCAAACTTACTTCCAATATCCCACTAAATAAGACAGAACTGAAAACATTTCTTCTAAATCAAGGACAAGGCCAGGGTGTTCACTCTCACAATTTCTATATGTTATACTTCTTAAAACTTTAAACAGAGCAGTTAGACAAGAGAAAGAAACAAATTGGATATGAACAGAAAATGAAGTCAAACTGCACTTATTCACAGATGACATGATTCTTGACATAAAAGACTCAAAAAACGCTACCAGAAAATTCTTAGAACTAATAAATAAATTCAGCAAAGAAGCAGAATACAGAGTCAATATGCAAAAATCAGTATTGTTATTACATTAATAATGAACCCACTGAGAAAGAAATCAAAAGAACAATCCAATTCATAGTAGCTGTAAAAAATTAAATACCTGGGGCTGGGGGTTTAGCTCAGCGGCATAAGCACCTGCCTTGAAAGCAGGCAGTCGTGAGTTCGATCCCCGGTCCCGATAAAAAGGAAAAAGACAAAAATAAATAAATAAATAAATACCTAATGATTAACCTAATCAAGGCCTCTGTAACAAAAACCATAATGCCCTGATAAAAAGAGATTGAAGAGGACAATGGGACAATATCCCTTATTCCTGAATAGGCAGAACTAATATTATCAAAATGGCTACATTGCCAAAAGTTATATGTATAATTATTTATTTTATATTACATATAATATATATTAAACCAGTTGGCTTGTTTTTGATACAGTTTTAACCTAAAAATATTTTGGTTATCTTTGTGTTTTTTATTATAAATTTTATTTAATGTAAACATATATATATATATATGTGTAAAATGAATTCATCAACATTCTTCACAGAGCTAGGAAAAATACTCTTCAAATTTATATGGTGTCAGAAGAGACCCAGGGGTAGCAAAGTGATCCTGAGCAAGAATAAAGCAGGAACCACTGCAATCCTGAATATCAAGTTGTACTACAGAGTGACAGTGATTAAAATCAGCATGGTTCTGGCACAAAAATAGACATATGAATCAGTACAATAGAACGGAGGATGTAGAAACAACCCCAGGCACTTTTAGTCTTTAATTTTTGATAAAAGCCAAAACATATACTAGAGAAAAGAGAGCCTCTTTAACAAATAGTGCTGGAAAAACTGACTATACAAGTATAAAAATGAAGTAAGACTCTATCTCTTACTTTACACTCAGTCAAATACAAAGGAATCAGAGACCTAGTTATTGAAATGGAACACTTGTCCATAATTCTTAATAAACTTGCTCTCTTTGGACAGGTACAAGAATCTCTGAGTAGTTGTACCTGGCCAATTAAATGACCTTGTCATGTAAACTTTGGAAAAACAACTAATTTGGGCTAAATATTTCTCTTATATAAAGATACCAATCAGAGTAATTTTGAAATATGCTTATAGAAATTAAATTTTTATAGTTCCCCTGAATTTTAGAATGCTTAACAATATTTGTGCTATTCAAAATCACTTGATGTGAACTTTTTCTTATACTCTTCTTGATAGCATTAAGGAAAACTTCGGCTTTTAATGGAATCATTTCCTTCTTAAACACAAACAAGCTTTGGTAATCTGTACATTGGTTAATTTGCTCTGTTTACATTTTCTTCCCTTATCTAGCCAATCAAAACCCCCCCAACAGGGAAGAAATATGTTAGATGCCCTTGTAATTGTCTCCTCATTTGTAAAGACACATCTCGGCGAATAGGATGTCCGAGACCCAACTGGTAAGAGATAAAGATTCATTCATTTGTTCATTCAACAAACTATTTATTCAATGCTTTCTTCTGGATTCCTGTCCTCAGAGTGATTACAGCATCTAGATGAGGGCTATTTTTGTTGCTATTAAGAATATGACTTACTTAGACTTTGAAGGTGGTGGGTACAGTTTGTAGGATACAATATTCTTGAGTGAGCATTGGATATTTTCTTAATGTTATGCAAGACTTGCACTATAATAAATTGGTGACTCACTGAACTTATTTTTTTAGAACCAGTTCATATTTCTTATATGCTATACTAGTTTCTGCTGAATGTAGTATATAAATGTAGCAATAAATTCTGGAATTATTTGCCTATGCCCAGTGCCATTATGGATGTGCTTAGGTACAAATCTATAAACACCCTAATTGTGGTTTTCTTCTGTTATATGCCTGACTTTTTGATGTACCTGATTCATGATAGTCCTATTTGATGGTAGTCTGAAGAAATAAAGGAAAGGTAGTTCCCACTTCACTTTCTTTCTATTTCTGATGAAGCAGGTGTAGAGGAACATCAGGCTGCTTATGGGAACTGGGTTGTAACTCAGTACTTTGGTACTTTCACAGCATACTCTTTTTTGTTAATACAGAAATTTTTTTACTGACTCAGTTTTTTGCCAAACTCGACTTGCCTTCCTCGGTGGGAATAAGAACAGTTTATGATTTGAACTTATACAACTTGGAGATGGCAATTAAATGGTTCCCATGATGATTGACTAAGACCCAGGCAGTGATAAATGGTCTCTATTCTATTATAAAATTTTTATATTTTGCTTTTGAAAGACTTTCTCTTACTACTGTAATTTTTGAATCCACAGCTTGACACTTAATTTATAAAACAAGTATAGCATATTTTAATTGATATACTCATTTTTTCATAAAATAAGTATAACATATTGTAATTGATATGTTTATTTTTTTCATACATTGCAGGCTTTGTCCTCAGTACTTTGCCTGTGAGATACTGAAAGTGTTTTCCTTTTCTTTCCACAGCAGACGCATAATTAACCTTGGTCCAGTAATGCTTATTTCTGAAGAACAACCAGCTCAACCTGCGTTGCCAATCCAACCTGAAGGTACAAGAGTTGTGTGTGGGCACTGTGGAAACACTTTCCTGGTAAGTGATTGGACATTGGTCGTAGAATATTAAGAATTTGTCATAGAATATTTGTAAATATTGGATATGTTTTTAGAGGCTTCACCACTGCTGATGTCATAAGTTTTTGTGAGTGCAATTGACCAAAAAGTTAAACTAGAGCCTTGTTTAATAAGGTTAAATAATCAGAGGTATAGCTAGGCTATATAGCATCTTTTGTGACAAAAGAAATATACTCTGATTAGTCTTGTTGTAAATAGGAAGGAGCCTCTTTGAGTAATTTGATGAGAAACAATGCTCTGAGTTTAACTATGAGCTATCTTGACTTGGTGAGCAAATGTATCCGTCTGCTTTTCACCAACTCAGCAGAACACCAAGTGTACAGTGTTACGCAGTGACTCTATTTCAGACTTCTAGATGCAAGACTACTTCTTATGATAATTTATCAAAAATATTCTGACTTAAAAATTATTATTCTTGGAGTAAAGGAAATAAACTCTGGTATCCATAGCTAAATCAATCATTAGATAAGAAGATACAGTAATTTGATATGAACAAGAGCTATTAAGTTGTTGCTTCACTGCTTTTAATTTCTAGTCCAAGCTTGATTTTTTAAAAAGTTAATTTCAAAATGTTTTACCCCCTCAGGAAGGGTAAGAACAGATTTTCTTTTGTTGCTCCTCCTTTATAAGAGACAGAAGATTTTCTCGAGAGCCTCAGTGTTAAAAGACCTTCTGGAGTGTTGACATGAGACTGTCAACAAAACCTGCTATAAGTGAGAAACGAGTGAGCTTAACAAAGTGTAGATGATTTTTTCTATTTTTTCTTTCCTTTTAGTAAAAATAATTCCTATGGATAATTCTAAATGTCAGAATGAACTACACACTTATCTAGCTCACTCCCAATTACTATCTCCCGAACACTTTCAACGCGTCCAACAGCTCTGCTGTTTACTTTGATGCATTCTGTTTACTCATTCTTTTTGTTTTTGATTAAGCATTTTAAACATTATTCACTGATTTCAAAATGCAAACTGTTATTCAAGTTTCCTGCTACACAGCAGTCATCCTGAGACTTCTCTTTACCAACATCCTGAAAAATTCCTTTTGACCCTTTCCTGGTTTTGATCCCATGTCATCCTTACAAGTTCTTGATTTATTTATTCTGGTGCAACTCTTTGCTTTCTGAGAAAAGAGGAGGGAAATAAGTGTGTGCCTTTTTATATTTGGATGTTGCTAGATTTGTATCACATCACTTTCTGATTCCTCCAAATGTGGACTTCTTAGTTGCCACCTCACTAAAAGGTGATTCTTTTGCTTCTTTGTTGAGAAGATCAGCTGCCATTCTGAATTCTGATCCTCCCAAGATTGCCTATGCTTTCTTTTTATTTTATCTTACTTTCCTTTTGCTTTTTTCATTTCCATCAGGATTCCAAAATATCATGATGAGGATGTGCCTTAGTAAGGGTCTTTTGAACTCTGTATGGGTGCTGTGTGGACCCTTTTATTGACCACTTCCTTTTACTTGTTACTTGTTTCTGGAATTCCTTAGTTTAGACCACCTGAATTGATAATCTAATTTTTTTAAAATTTTCTTTTTAATTTTGGCTTTTGGTTTCATTTGCTGGGAAAATTTGACAACTATATCCTCTTAAATTTAGGAATTTTTATTTTAGATAATTCTAACTTTTTAATGTTCAAGAGACTTTGTTCTCCAGTTCTTCTTTTTTATACCATTATCATCTTTACGGCATCATTCAGCTAGTATTGGGAATAGTCTTTCCCTATACCTGTCCTCTGTTTTCTCCCCATTTTTCTGTTTTTCTTTTGTGATAGCAGCCTTACTCAAAATCCCATATTTAAGAGCAGGTAAGGGATTGGACTCTGTACATGCTGATAAGGAGTAAACTTTTTTTCCATCTTTTTTTTTTCTTTTCCTTTATTTATGTATTTTAAGAGCTGTCATGTGTTAGTATTCAGAGGTCTTTTTTTTTTTGGCAGCACATTTCCCTGGGTAAGGGCCCTCTAGTCTCTGGATGATATGCTTGGAGATAGCATTCTAGGAGCGCAGAGGTAATAGGGTGAAGCTCTTACTCACATTCAAGCGGAGACTTTTTAGTTCCTTCAGTATTGTTAACCATAGTTCGCACACACTGTATTAGTTCTCCAGAATTTATTCATCTTGCCTAATGGACACTTTGTTTTTTTCGACCAACATCCCCTCATTTTCTGCTTCTGGCAACAATGAGTCTACTCTTCTTCCATGGGTTTATTTTAGATTCTCCATAGAAGTATGATCGTATGGTATTTATCTTCCTATGTTTGGCTGATTTCCTGCAGGTTAATCTATATTTTTGCAAATGGCAGAATTTTCTCCTTACTTAAAAGACGAAATCATAATTTTATCTATTTATATACTTTTGGTACTAGGAATCAAACTCAGGACCTAGTCTTTGCCAGGCAGACACCTATGCGGCTGAGTTATATCCCCAACCCCAAGACTAAATAATTTTAATGTATATGTACCACAATTCCTTTTTTCTTCTTTCCTCACCCTCTCCTCCTCAACATCCTCCTTCTGTTTTGGTGATACTGGGGATTGAACCCAGGACCTTACACTAAGCTGCATCTCCAATTTCTATTTTTTATGTTAAGAATTTTCCCTGAGTTGCCCAGTCCATCCTCACGTTAGCTTCCCTACTTCAGCTACCTGCTTCCTCTCCTGCGTTAGCTTCCCCAGTAACTGGGATTGTATGTGCCACTGCACTGCAGCTACGTACCATAATTTCTTGGTCTAGTCCTCTGTGCCTGGAACATTTGGCTTGTTTCCATGTCTTGGTTACATAAGAGTGTGCTATTCCTTGCTTTTATCCCTAATGCTAACCCCTCTCTGAATTCCTGATTTATTGTATGATTCTCGCGGAAGCAGCTGCTTTCATCAGCGCATCTTTCTGTGGACAGGAAGTTTCTACAGCTCTTTCACGAAGTCAGTTGCCAGGTCTTTAATTGCTTTCCACTGTTCAAATGTTTGAAACCATTTCTCATTGGTTTTCTTTGTCCATATGCATTCATTTTTAAATTCTTACTATCATTTTAGTCAGGCTTTGAGAAAGAAATAGAAATGCATGCATTCATTTAATTTATTATATTTAATCAGAATTTCTGGAATTTTGTGCTGTAGTCAGACAACATAAATCTATTTCTTTGCATTTATATATTTTATTGATTAAAGCAGTGATTATATAAATTAGAAAATATAGTTGGTGGGATAGCCAACAAATGTCTTTTCAAAAATCACTTTATATTAGTTTCAACAGGAACCAATAAATAAATGAATTGACTAAATATACATTAAGCATTTTTAAGCCTTTTCTTTCTTATACATGAAGAAATTCTAGTTTGAAAGTAGTCTCATTTAAAAGTCTTCTTTTCAACTTACTCAGGGACTTCTCTTTCACAAATACCCTCCATTCTGCTTTTTAGGCTTTTATTCAAAATTCTTGAAGTGAATAATTGTGAGTAATCCTCGTAGCCACATTACAAATGAGCTGGTTACATTTTTTCTCACTGTATATTTGTATCAGATACAGGGCTAGGTCCCAAGGAATCAGTGGTGAACAGGCAGCACAGTTTGTTTTCATGGCATTTTCTAATCTAATCATAGGAGAAAGAAATTTAAAGCAGAGTTTCATGAAACGTGTGTAGACTGTAGCACAGGAAAGTACGGAGTGTTCTTAGTACACACACAGGAGCATGGAGCCCAGAGGAAGTGACCTCCTAGAGTTACGGAAAGCAATACAGGAGATTTATGCTTAATTGAGTACACAGGGATGCTATGTATAGGAAGGAATGCATGGGAAAAAACATAAGGGACATAGGCTCAGTGTTGGGCTTTCATTATTCAGAAAAGAGTGTATGATGGCCAGGATTAGCATAAAGAATTTGAGAGAGAATTGGCAATGCTTTTAATAAAGAAAAGGAAATAAAGTAAATCAGGAAGTTACAGAGTTTCTTCTTTGAATTTTTTAGAAATATCTGACAGTGAATTCTAGAAAAAAATCCAAGTAGAGAGTTTAAATAGATATACATGTGCATGATTTTTATTATTTTTAAAAATCACTTATGCATTTAGATATTTTTACCCCAGAAGTAAATATAAAGCAATCTGCAAGCTATAGACTAACTTCTAAACCTAGCTCTTTCTTACTATGTAATGCAGGCAAGGGAATCTTATTATATTAATGTATCCTATTAGTAATTATGATTAAAAACTTTAATGTTTACAAGGAAAAGACATTTGGGTTAAAAATACAATATTTCAAGGTGATTTCAATATTTCTGGAAAACAGATTCTGGTGATCAGGGTAATATAGTAGATGCCTAAAGGAAGGGAATGCTTCAGAGAGTTTTAGGTTAATGAGAGCAGCTCAGTGGAACTGAGGATATAGTTCAGTGGTAAAGGACTAGCATGCCTGAGGTCCTGGCTTCAACTGGAAAAAGGGAGAGAAAGAGGCATCAGTGTCATAAAGAAACATTTGCTTCATCTAATATCTTGAATAGCTATTGAGATATTAACAGAAAGATCAGGAATATACACACACATTCAGTTTTTAGTTCATTTATTTATTCCCTACTTTGTTTCAGTTTACAAGTATCTCCTGTGCTGTGAGCATCTCTGACTGCCAATCAACAGCAACAACGGGCTTCAGCCTAAGCCAGATAAACACCCATTACCCCTTCAAGGAAGTTCGAGTTACTTCTTCAGACAGGGGAATGCTATAGGCAGTTAAGTTAGATAGAATATTGTAGGCAGTCAGCTATGGCTGGGCCCTCAAAGGAGCCTGGGCAGAAAACCAGATACCTTGCAACTGTAGGGGAGACCTACACCTCCCTCTGTGGGCCAGACCTCAAAACAAAAGACAAAACAAATACAGCTACACCTTAAGGATAAACATGTGGGACTGATACTCCAAATAGGTATCTAGGTATCAAACACCTTAAGGAAGCCAGAAGAAGCCACTCATGCAGCCTGCTATAGGCAAAGGCCCTGTTCCCGCTTGCTACATGACTCGCTTCCCTGTTGCATCCTGATTTAATCAATTATACCTGAGCAATCTTGATCTTATTGGTTGATCATAGTTCTGCCCCACCTCATGCCCATCTTGCAAGTTCTCATTTTTCCTCACCTTGGACCCACCTTACCTCATGGTTTTGCTCTATAAAAGTCCCTAGAAAAGAGTCTTTGGCAACCCACTTGATACCCTTCTGTCTCTCTCTTAGACAGAAGCTTTCTCTCAACAAATATATTCTGCTCTTTAAAAAAAAAAAAGAAAGAAATCATTCACTACAAAGCTTTTCATCTGATTAACAGTCTCAATCCTATTATGCTGATCATAATCAATCTTAACATCTTTTATAATACATTCTTTGTTCTTCAAATTCTAAGATAGTTCATTTATTTATTCTCTACTTTGTTTCAGCTTTGTAACAACTCTTGGATTTATATGGCCCCACAGCAATTGAGAACAGTTATAAGGATACATTCAGTTCAATAGAATTGAAAATGAAATATGAAAAAAGCCAAGAGAATAAAAAATAGGGCAAGAAATAAAATTTGATGTGCTATATAATTTTGTTGTGGTTTCTTCTTTTTTTTCTTTTTATGTTTGAATAATGTAGATTTGGGAAAAAAGGAAATAAAAAAATAAAACATGAAGTTATGTATAAGAATATAAGTATGCGTAGTATTTAGTCCTGCATGTTCATAAAACTAATCCGAATCTTAGTTTCAAATTTTTCACATGCAGTGAAAGAGGAAAGTGATTTATTATAATATATTAATGGTAATTTAACAAAAAGGTCACTCAGAAAAAGCTATTTCTGGAATTCTGAGACCTACAAGAGAATTCTACTGTGTAAAGGATAAAAGAACAATATAATAAGCTATGTTTTCAATAGTATCCTTGTGTTTATAAATAATTTTTTAATGTACAGTATGATAAGGCTAAAGTTGCATTTGTTAGGAATTTATGTTATTCACAGTATACACAGTCTGGCAGGAACCACACATATTGTTTAAAGAAGCTAGATTTGTGTATTTCAGTGGCACGTCCTTTTAAAATAAGGCTTATAGGCCTTTGGTGAGTAAAGAACTCCATAATCAGTGGGAATTGCAAAGATACAAATAAAGTAAATAGGATTTTTAATAGGAGTAATCGTTAGCACTTTTTGTGCCCATCATTGTTAATATCTAAGATTTTTTTATGTTTTATGTTCCAACATTTTTTGTCCACTTTAAAATACCACAGAATAAGTGTTATCTCTGTCAGTGGTCTATTATACCTATCAAAATATGTTCCAGTAGTGTAATATTCAGCCACTAATTTAAACAATATAGAACAATGCATCTAAATATTCCACTATTTAAGAGATATGTCCTCAAGACTTAAAGATATAACAACTTTGGAGGTAAGTGAAATATCCTGGAAATGAACCGAAATATTCAGAGGTGACCCTAAGTAGGGTGTGATAGTCATTGTAAAACAAATGTAGGTTGCGTCAAAGCCATCAAGAAGTCATGGGAACAGTTTCTGCAGGGTGTCCCAAACTATTTTAAGGGGAGGAGAGAACTGCTGGAGGGAGACCTGAGGTAACCTTGAGGAGATTGATTGCTTCTGCTGTGATCCTGCTGACATTTAGACTAAAGGAAACACTTTATCAGATTGGATGGTTTTCTGTTGTTTTTCTTCTCAACTCTCTCTTCATTTATTTTACAGTGGATGGAACTAAGGTTCAACACTCTGGCAAAATGCCCACACTGCAAAAAAATGTAAGTTCTCTACCGCTGGAAGTAATTGAGAGCTATTTAAAGAGTTCAGAAGTCTCATCTAAGCAGACTTTTATTTTAAGAAATATTATAGAATCAATGCATACTTAATATACTTATGTTTTTCAAGACTGAAAATAAGACTCTTATTTATTATACAAAAATATCATATTTAAAAATTAAAATGAATGGTCTTATCATTCTCTGGAGGGTAATTGGTTTCTAAGGAAAGCTGATAAAGTTGTCAGAAATCTAGTGAAGATTTTCAGATATCATAAGAAGTTACAGTGTAATGTAAACAGTCTAAAATTCATATTTATAAATGGGCTATGATCTAGTAGAAAATCCAAATTATTTCACAGTTCATAGTTAGCTGATTATAATCACTTCTTTTTATCACTTGCTAAATAGGTTGTTACTGTGACAAAGTTGATCCAACTGTTTGTCAATCTTAACTATTCAGTCTACTACTTTTTATTTCTAAATGGTGTACCATTTCTATGAAAGAATTTTAAAAGTAAGCACAAACTGAGAAATAACTTTTTTTTCAGTCCAAGGATGAGCTATATCCACAATCGTTTGTCTGTCTGTCTGTCTATCTATCTACAGAGTCTCACTAAGTTGCTGTGATACTCCTGCCTCAGCATTCCACAGTACTGGGATGACAGGTGTCCTCCATTACACCTGGATATAAGAGAAGATGTTTTGATTAAAGACTGTGGCTTAGTGTTGGAGGTCTTGAAGATTATGCCAATAATCTTGATTTTGTAGGAAAAGTCATGGGAATTACTGGAGTGTACTATTGTGCTCATATATATGATTTATTACACCAAAAGAATGTAAAACAAAATCAATAAAGGAAAAAAGGCAAATGGGGCAAAACTTGAAGGAAACCAAGTGGAAGCCTCCAGAGTTCCTCTCCCAGTGGAGTCCTCCAGCAAGGAATTGTCAGTGTGCATGCAAAATTTTACCCAGTAGGACAGCTCACTAGAGACTATGCTCACTTGGTTAGATCACTTAGGAACCCATTGCCCGGCATCTACCAAAGTTCAGTCACTCAGAAAGAATACAGGCCGGCAAACCACATTGTTTACACTTTGTATTTTTATCTATTTATGTTTTAGTACTGGGGAGTGAACGCAAGGCCTCTTGCAAGGCAAGCTGCATCTCTGGCCTGTTTTAGCTTTTATTTTAGTGTAGGTGCTCTGAAGGGAGCACGTTTTTATTTTGAGTCAAGGTCTTGGTAAGGCATCTGTGTTGCCTGAGCTGGGCCTGAGCTTGTGATTTTTCTGCCACAGCCTCCTAGAATGCTGGGATTACAGGCATGTGTCACTAGCCCCAGCATACACAGCATCTATTTTGATAATGAATTTTTAAATTAAAATTATTTTCTATTCATATGTATAAAATATAATAAAGTAAATCAAACTAGAATGTTTTGACAGTTCAATTTTTATAACTGAGGATAAAGAATCATACTTTATACCTTACCTATTTTGAGAGTAGAGAAATCTTAAGAAAAGTTTCTAAAAAGAAATAATTAAAAAGTATCTGAAAAGTAGAGAATGTGTAATAAAATGTCTCCAATTTATCTTTGCTAGTTCTGAACTCACCTATATATAGCCTTGTGTGAATAATTTCTTTACAGTCTATTTTTAGCTTGACAAGACCAGATATTTCATTTTCTTAGTTGTGAAATTAATCATCCAAATTCTTAACTTTCCTAACTCTAGTAGAAATCTGTACCTGGAGACACAAAAAATGCCCAGAAAAATATACATTTGAATGAGATACTGCCATTCACCCCAATAAATGTAATAAACAAGTAAATGATTCATATTTTTGTGTATTCTTTTATAAAATACAAAATTAAATTATAAGTCTTTCCACCAAGATTATTAAATTGGAAAAAGAAAATTATGGAAAGTAGAAAGCAGAGTTATTTTGGAATTAGCACACTGTGGTGCTAAGTCCACTGATAGTTCCTTCATGTTTATAAATAATTAGCTGGAATCCTTTCAGCAATCCTGAAATTAAAGAATTGTATCTTCTTTTCACAGATAAGGAACTGTTAAGAGAGGTTAAGGAATTTACCCAGGGAACATGTATGGTTAATTCTTTTAGAACAGTGGTAAAGTTTTTACTGATAATAAAGAAGAATTGAATGTCTAAACAGACATTGGATCACAGGAAAGTGTGTTAATATAAAGAAGAATTTGTACTTAGGGAACAACTTACAGGAATTTTACATGGAATGAATCAACTTAATCATCACTAACAGGAGGGTTTGTAGGAGTGGGGTCACATGCTAAACATGGGAAGATTTGAGCTTTCATTACTAGGGGACAGAAGATGTTGTCACATGAACACCCATGGCTGCTATTTTCTTTTTGAATGGTCTTCTTTATAACAACATAATGTTGTTATAGATCTGTTGGGCTAAGATTCTGAGACAGACATTTGTTTCTTAAATATAAATATCCTAAAACTTCTTTTGAGTTGCAAAATCATTACTATGAAATCAGCATGCCGTGTGCAGGAAGCTTCCCCAGAGGTCCTAAGGAAAAGGAGCGTCTTCTCATGGCCCTATTTTCTTATGCAGGAACTTAGGCTGTTGCAGTTAAAGGTTGCTGTTTTTCACCTTGGCAATTTATGACCACCATCCAAATGAAGATGTAGATTTAGCATTCTGAAATAGAATTTGGACATAATTCAATGCAATGTTATAGGGGACCTAAGCCTAATGGAGGCATTGATTTAATCTATGGTATTTCTCACTGAATGGCTTTTGCTCTGTCTATATCACTGACGTATTTATTGCATTGTGAATCACCTCCTGCCATTTTAAATAACAGCAGATTCTTAGTATCAGATAATGTCTTTTTACTTTGTTTTTTTGTGATTTTGTAAATATTCATTAATTTAAAAACAATTCTGTGTTTGGTACTAGGTGCTTTCAATAAGAGTAAAATCTTGCTGTCAAAGGAATTCATTTTACAGACAGCAAGAGAAACAGGAGTAGACAATTACGATAAAATGTTAAGTGCTTCAAAGAGGTATGGTCAGTGTGCTGTGCTTTGAAGACTGGAGGAGAAGGGATCAAGAGAAAAGTCTTCAGGAGAAAGGGACACATGAACAGTTCTTAGCAGATGAGGGCTGTGATGTGAGAGGAGGGCAGGGTGGTTCACTGCAGAGGCAGCCACCTGTACAAAGGTACAGAGAAGTCGATCAGTGTAGGTGTGCTATTAAGGAAACAGATAAAATGTGCAGGGGTAAGGGAGCAAGATGGTTGGGGTCAAGGATGAACTGAGTTCTTAGGGGCTACAGAACCATTCACTAAAATAGAGCATACAATATCTAAAGAAAGAGATATGCCTGGCAGAGAATGATTAATTCATATTGAATATAGTAGATATAGAGACCTCTAGGTTTGTTAGATTTTCAAAATCTTCACCCCATCTGCTTTTAAATCCTTCACTCTGTATAGCATGTTAAATGTGTGAATTGTAATTTAAGCAAAGTAAATTAAACTGAAATGTTTGATCAGTATGGCCGTGGCTTCTCCCATTCTTTACCAAGATAACTGAAAATTGAAACATTTGATATTGATTAGCTCTTTTTTAGTTATTGTTTAATTTTTATTTTTCTTAGTATGTGTTTGCAGTGCATAACAATTACATTCCTCCTGAAGAGTTGGTATCTGTGCATAACAAATCTTAATGCTTAACCATCCCTACCCCATCCCTCCCTCCCTGCTCCTTCCATCTCTTGATCCCCTTCCTATTTGCAAAAGCTTTCTTTTTTCTTCTTTTTTAAATCCCATTATCCTCTCCTCTTTTTCTTTTTCTCCATCTCTTGTTCCTCTTCCCATTTGAAAAAATCTCCCTCCTTCCTATTAGCTTTTATTTTGCTCTATATTTATATTTGGAGGTCCTCACATAAGAGAAACTGTGCCGTATTTTAAGCTTGTTTGTCTGATTTATTTCACTTAATGAGATGTACAGCTTTGCTAAAGCCTGCTCTGTATTCCTTCTCAAAGTGACCTTGATTGACTCCCTCCCTCATTACTCAACACACCTGTCCCCAGACAGTCACTGTCCCTCTCAGATTCTCCACCTGTTTCCCCAGCTTCCCCAGTCTCTGTGATGAGTTGCCATCTGTCTCTCTGGGATAATTGCGGGTACCTGTGAACTCTGCATAAGCCTGTCCCTCTCTGTACTCATTCCCCTTGCTCTTCTCTGTGGGAAGATCTCTCCAAGACCTGACTTCATTTGATCAAGGAACACCATTCACTCTGGAGTAAAGCCCAGTGAACTGTCTGTCAGGCCTATAATTTGCTCGGAGGAAATATACACCCCAGATGCAAATTGAAATAGTTCACTCCTTATATTACTTGTTTTCTTTAAGTATTTGGTTCTGTTCATCTTAAAATTTGTTCTTTTTTGGTTCTTAGATATGCTTTCTTCCCAATTTTTCCGACTTTTTAGATAGTCCTTTGTTTTTTCTTCTGTTGTTTTCATCTTCTCTTGCAAGTTATTAAATTTTGCTGTTTACCAACATGGGAACATGGCAACATTGCATCTAGATTTTCTTGTATGTTTTTGTGTCATTTATATCCCAGCAATCATCCCGAGTCTCTCTTTGGGGCTTTAGGTGTGGATATACAGTCTCTCTTCACTACTTGCCTATAATTATTTCTACCTGGTATCTCCCTGTATTCTCAAACACACCATGAACAACATCCTTACCCTCTCTGCAAGATAACCTTTCTTATATATTGATGACTATGTCATACTGATGGGTGTTATCCCATCTGCCCAGGATGAAGCCAGAAATCTGAGTGTATCTTTGCTTCATTTTCCACAGCTAGATGGTAATGTTTTACCAATTCCATCTGTGACTATTTTAATTTTGTCTTCTTATCATCAGTATTTCTGATTTAGTTCATGCATTTAGCACCTCTCACTAAGATTATTACATTGGTTTCTAATTTTCTCTCAAACTCCAGCCTTGAAGTTCTCAGTTCATTTACTAGAATGATGGTGCTCAAATACATACATGATTTTAAACTCTCTAGCTTCAGATCTTTTGGTAGCTGCTATGTTCATGGCCGTGCATTTGTTTTTACAGGTGACCAAAGACGTAGATAGGATTACTTAGTGGCATGTAAATTACCCCAAAGAAAGATCTGCTTTTATTTTTTGTTAGAAATGCTTTGTATGGTTTACTATGTAGGCTTGTTGACTAAATTCCAAAATCAAACTGCAAACTTATTAGCAAGATATATCTAGGTCCCCAGATTTAAGTCTATGCCTAAATTATCTATGAGTATCTTTGCTTTCTTCCAGCCCTACACACAACCCTCTTTGTCTCAACCTCAATAAGTGCTGCTTCTAAAAATGTATTATGCACTTTTGTATTTCTGTCTCTTTAATCTCATCCTGCTAGATATGGAATAGTTTGGCTAGTGCTTTCCTTAACCTGCCTTACCTGGAAGACATCTATTCAACTTCAAATATCTTTTGTTTCTACCTGCAGAAACCTTCCATTGCAGAAAGGTTATTGTGCTGCTCATTGTTTGACAAAATTACTTTTTTTCATACCTGAACAATGCTACTATTTTCAACTAAAATAACTCATTCCTCTATCTATACATATCTGTCCTTGTCCTTAAACTCTTATTGTTTAGTTCATTTTCTCTTACTATAAAAATACCAGGAACTTCATGCTTTATAAAATAAAGCAGTTCATTTGGGCTCACAAATGTGATCTAAGGTTAGGAGCTCACATCTGGTGATGGCCTTCTTGCTGGCAGAATCCCAAGGAAAATTGCCAGATTGTTGAGTGACTATTTTATGATTGTGGAATTATACCTAATTTTTCTTTTCTTTTTTGTTCTGTGCTCCATTTTCCAATTTTCTATATCACATTGGTCAGCTTTCCAGTTCCAGGGACAAAATACCTAAACACTAAAAGGCGAAAAAGTTGTAAGTGCCTCATGGTTTCAAGGTTTCAGTCCACCCATGACTGACTGGCTTCCAGCAGAACAAGGAGAAGAGGCAGGGCAGGAAGAAGCTGCTCTGGTGATGGCAGCTAGGAAGCAGAAGCAGGGAAGAGGCCTGAGGGGGACAGACATGGTCTTCAGTTTATGTCTTGGTGACTTACCCAGCCACACCCACTCATCTTCACTTTGTTGTTGTTGTTGTTGTATGTCTGTGTGTGTGTGTTTAGGGCTTATAGAATTTTATTATTTTACAATTTTTTAACTTTCGGAAAAAAGGTAGAACAAAATTTCATAATAAAATAATAGGAGAATAGCAATAGTTAAACATTACATATTACCTTTAATGTAGTTGCTCAGGGTATAAGATATGTACATAGAAATGTCTCCAATCAATATTAGCACAAACTTTCCTTTTTAATAAACTGAGAGACATTTGTATAGCTGACTCGTGCTTTTTCCTTTTTACTATGGTCGTTTCCCCTTTCAGCCTTCCTAGTTTCTTTTTCCTTTTGAACAGTTTCTTCCTATTTCACAGTATCTATTGTGTATTTTAGCATTTCCTTTTTAAGATTCTTATACATGGGAGACAATCTGATGTTTACACACATAAACATTATTCGTTTCACAATAATCTCAAGTTGCATCCAATTACCTATAAAAGTCTCAAATTAACCCTTCTTTATTGCTGAGTACTACTTTATTGTATAAAAATACTGTATCTTTTTTATTCATTCCTCCAGTTAATGGGCATTTGGATTGCTTCCAAGATTTAGTTATTAAAAATTATGCTGCTATAAATATAGGTGCACATATATCACTCTGGAATAATAGTTTTAATTCTTCTGGGAAGATATCCAGAAGGGGAATAGCCAGAATGGGACCTCTAATCCTAGCTTTTTGAGGAATCATCATACTGATTTACACAGTGGTTGTACCAGTCTGCACTCCCACCAACAGTGAAGAAGGGTTCTTTTTTCCCCACATCCCCACCAGTGTTTGTTATTGGTTGATTTCTTGATGATAGTCATTCTTTCTTGAGAAAGAATTTCAGTGTTGTTTTAATTTGCATCTCTAGTGATCAGTGATGTTGAACATTTTTTCATATATATATTTGCCATTTGTATTTCTTCATCTGAGAAGAAAGTATTTATCTCAGATGACCATTTTTGGATTGAGTCTTTGAATGTGGGGATATCTGACTTCTTAAAATTCTTTAGATGTTCTAGCTAATAGTCTTTTGTCTGAGGGACAACCAGATATAATTTTTTTTTCCCATTCTGTGAGTTGTCTTTTCACTCTGTTGGTAATTTCTTTTGTTGTGCAAAAGCTTTTTGATAAGGTGAGATTCCAGTTGTTGGTTCTTTGTAGTATTTTCCACGTAGTCTGGGTTTTTTCATGAAGTCTCTGCCTAAACCTATGTCTTTAAGATTTCTGCTGGTGTTTTCCTCCAGAACACTTATTATTTCTGTTTTGGTATTTAGATCTTTGATCCATTTTGACTTTAGTGCAAGGTGATAGACATGGGTTTAGTTGTAGTCTTTGGCATGTAGAATCAGTTTTTCTAGCACCTTTTATTAAAGATACTATCTTCCAGTGAATTTGTTTGGCTACTTTGTCACAGGTAAGGTGGGTCAGTATGTTTGGGGTTGTGTCTGCATCTTCTAATCTGTTCCACTCATCCTCAGATCTGTTTATTTTTCCCCCCAATACCATGCTGATTCTATCCCAATAGCTTTGTAGTATAATTTCAGGTCAGGTATTGTGATGCTCCCTGACTTGCCTTTGTAGCCCAGAATTGTTTTTACTACTTGAGGTATCTTCTGATTCCAAATGAATTTTTAGAATGTTTTCTATAGTTCTGTGAGGTATGCTTTGAGTTTTGGAAGTTGGGCCATTTTCACTATATTGATTCTTCCAATCTATGAGCAAGGAATATCTTTCCATTTTCTGATAGCCTTTTCAATGTCCTTTTGCAGAGTATTGTAATTATCAATGTATAGATCTTTTGTTTCCTTTGTTAGATTGATTCCTAACTATTTCATTGTTTTGGTTGATATTATAAAGGGTGTGATTTCCCTGATTTCTCTCTCTCTGAGTTTGTTGCTTGTGTATAGGAATGCTATATAGATTTTTTGAGTATTGACTTTGTATACAGCTATACTACTGAATTTGGTTATTAAGTCTACTAGTCTTTTAATGGAGTTTTTTTGGCTCTTTTATCTAAAGTTTCTTGTCCTCTGTAAGTAATGATAATTTAACTTTCTCTTTTCCTATCCTTATTCCTTTATTTCTTTCTCTTGTCTAATTGCTCTGGCTACTATCTCTAGCACTATATTGAATAGGAATGGTGATACTGAACATCCTTTCTTGTTCCTGATTTTAGAATGAAATGCTTTCAAGTTTTTGACCATTTAGTGTGATGTCAGCTATTGGTTTGTCATAGATGGCTTTTTTCAGATTGAGATAAAGATCATCTATTCCAATCTTCTGTAGGGTTTATGTTATGAATTAGTGTTGGAATTTGTCAAATGCTTTTCTGTATCTA